CATTACCGACGTGAGTATTGAAGTCCCCCAGCAGAATAAAGGAGTCCCCGGCTGGTGCATATTCTAGCACCCCTGCCAAGGACTCCAAGAAGGCTGGATACTCTGAACTGCAGTTTGGCATGTAGGCACAAACAATACCCCTCCCTGGGCTGCCACCTTACCGTGGTGGAGGGGTTTGAATGTCCCAATGATCCTAGGAGCTATGCTGTCAGGGGCTTTATGCCCTTAGTAGAGTCACCCATGGCAGACAGGTCCTAGGTGAGGGACCAGACAAAGTGCAGCACAAAAACCCAGATGATGAGAAAAATAAACGGACCTAATGTTCCCTTGCCCGGACGTGGGTCACCGGGACCCCACTCTGGAGCCAGGCCTGGAGGTGGGGCACACGGGAGAGCGCCTCGTGGCCGGGCTTTTACCCATGGAGCTCGGCCGGGCACAGCCAGAAGAGGAGACGTGGGTCCCCCTTTCCATGGGCTCACCACATGTGGGAGGGGCCAAAGGGGTCGGGTGTAATGTGGGATGGGTGGTGGCCGAGGGCGGAGACCCTGGCGGTCTGATCCTCGGCTACAGAAGCTGGCTATTGGGACATGGAATGTCACCTCACTGGTGGGGAAGGAGCCTGAGCTGGTGTGTGAGGCTGAGAGGTTCCGGCTAGAAATAGTCGGACTCACCTCTACGCATGGCTCTGCCTCTGGAACCAGTTTCCTTGAGAGGGGCTGGATACTCTTCCACTCTGGAGTTGCCCCTGGTGAGAGGCGCAGAGCAGGAGTGGGCATACTTATTGCCACCCAACTTAGTGCCTGTGTGTTGGGGTTCACCCCGGTGAATGAGAGGGTGGCCTCCCTTCGCCTACGTGTGGGGGGACAGGTTCTGACTGTCGTTTGTGCTTATGCACCAAACGGCAGTTTGGATTATCCACCCTTTCTGGAGTCCTTGGAGGGGGTATTGGAAATTGCAACTCCTGGTGACTCCCTTGTTCTGCTGGGGGACTTCAATGCTCATGTGGGCAATGACAGTGAGACCTGGAGGGGTATGGTTGGGAGGAACGGCCCAACTGATCTGAACCAGAGTGGTGTTCTGTTGTTGGACTGCTGTGTTCGTCATGGATTGTCAATAACGAACACCTTGTTCAGGCATAAGGGTGTCCATATGTGCTCTTGGCACCAGGACACCCTAGGCCGCAGTTCGATGATCGACTTTGTCATCGTCTCATCTGATCTGCGGCCACATGTCTTGGACACTCGGGTGAAGAGAGGGGCGGAGCTGTCCACTGATCACTACCTGGTGGTGAGTTGGCTCCGATGGTTGGGGAGGATGCCGGTCAGACCTGGCAGACCCAAACGTATTGTGAGGGTTTGCTGGAATGTCTGGCAGAGTCTCCTGTGAGACGGAGTTTTAACTCCCACCTCTGGGAGAACTTCTAACATGTTCCGAGGGAGGTGGGGGACATTGAGTCCGAGTGGACCATGTTTCGTGCCTCCTATTGTCGAGACGGCTTACCGGAGCTACGGCCGCAAGGTTGTCGGTGCCTGTCGCGGCAGCAACCCTTGAACCCGATGGTGGACACTGTCGGTGAGGGATGCTGTCAGGCTGAAGAAGGAGTCCTAAAGGGCCTTTTTGGCCTGTGGGACCCCGGAAGCAGCTGATGGGTACCGGCAGTCCAAGTGGCATGCGGCTCGGGTGGTCGCTGAGGCAAAAACTCGGGCATGGGAGGAGTTCGGAGAGGCCATGGAGAATGACTTCCTCATGGCTTCAAGGCGATTCTGGTCCACCATCCGGCGTCTCAGGGGGGGAAAGCGGTACACCACCAACACTGTTTATAGTGGGAGTGGTGTGCTACTGACCTCAACTCGGGATGTTGTGGGTCAGTGGGCAGAACACTTTGAAGACCTCCTCAATCCCACCAGCACGTCTTCCACTGAGGAAGCGGAGCCTGGGGCCTCTGGGTCGGGCCTTCCAATCTCTGGTGCTGAGGTCACCGAGGTAGTTAAAAAGCTTCTCGGTGGCAGGGCCCCAGGGGTGGATGAGATTCGCCCGGAGTTCCTTAAGGCTCTGGATGTTGTAGGGTTGTGTTGGCTTACACGACTCTGCAATATTGCATGAACATCGGGGGAAGTTCCCCTGGATTGGCAGACTGGGGTGGTGGTCCCCTTATTCAAAAAGGGGGACCGTAGAGTGTGTTCCAACTACAGGGGAATCACGCTCTTAATCCTCCCTGGTAAGGTTTACTCGGGGGTTCTGGAGAGGAGGTTCCGGATTCAGGAGGAGCAGTGCGGTTTTCGTCCTGGGCGTGGAACACTGGACCAGCTCTACACTCTCAGCAGGGTCCTGGAGGGTGCATGGGAGTTTGCACAACAGGTCTACATGTGCTTTGTGGACTTGGAGAAGGCGTTCGACCGCATCCCTCGGGGAACCCTGTGGGGGGTACTCTGGGAGTATGGGGTACCGGGCCCTTTGATACGGGCTGTTAGGTCTCTGTATGACCAGTGTCAGAGCCTGGTCCACATTGCCGGCAGTAAGTCGGGCTCGTTCCCAGTGAGAGTTGGACTCTGCCAAGGTTGCCCTTTGTCACCGATTCTGTACATAACTTTTATGGACAGAATTTCTAGGCGCAGCCAAGGTGTTGAGGGGATCTGTTTTGGTGGCCTTAGGATTGCGTCTCTGCTTTTTGCAGATGATGTGGTCTTATTGGCTTCATCAGATCATGATCTACAGCTTTCGCTGGAGCGGTTTACAGCCGAATGCGATGCGGCCGGGATGAAGATCAGTTCATCCAAATCTGAGACCATGGACCTGAGCCGGAAAAAGGGTAGAGTGCCCTCTCTGGGTCAGGGAGGAGGTCCTACCCCAAGTGGAGGAGTTTAAGTATCTTGTGGTCTTGTTCACGAATGAGGGAAACATGGAGCGTGAGATCGATAGGCGGATAGGTGCAGCATCAGCAGTGAAGCAGGAGCTATACAGGTCTGTCGTGGTGAAGAGAGAGCTGAGTCAAAAGGCGAAGCTCTCAATTTACCGATCAATCTACGTTCCTACCCTCATCTATGGTCACGAGCTTTGGGTTGTGACCGAAAGAATGAGATCTCGGATACAAGCATCCGAAATGAGTTTTCTCCGCAGGGTGTCTGGGCTCTCCCTTAGGGATAGGGTGAGAAGCTCGATCATTCGGGAGGGACTCAGAGTAGAGCCACTGCTTCTCCACATCGAGAGGAGCCAGTTGAGGTGGCTTTGGCATCTGTTTAGGATGCCTTCTGGACGCCTCCCTGGTGAGGTGTTCCGGACACATCCCACTGGGAGGGGACCCAGAGGAAGACCCAGGACATGCTGGAGGGACTATGGTTCTCGGCTGGCCTGGGAACGCCTTGGGATTCCCCCGGAAGAGCTGGCCCAAGTGGCTTGGAAGAGGGAAGTCTGGGCCTCCCTACTTAGGCTGCTACCCCCGCGACCCGACCCCTGATAAGCAGAAGAAAATGGATGAATGGATGGCACAAACAATAGTCAGAGCCCGTCCCTCCACCCGAAGGCGAAGGGAAGCCACCCTCTCATCTACCGGGGAAAACGTCAACACACTGGCACCAAGTCGAGGGGCTACAAATAGACCCACACCAGCTCGACGCCTCTCACCATGGGCAATTTTTTCATTAATTAAGAAAAACTGTTTTTTTAATTTAAATGCCTGGTGCCTGTAATAACAGAAATAAAATGGATAAATCATATTTGAATTGTTTTTGTAAATGTATTTATATGTAAATGAGATGGGCATTTGATATCGCAATATATCGATGGCAGACTTGTGAATCAAATAGAATCAAAATCGTATCGTGACAGACTGATATCAAGAAAAATCGTATCATCATACAAACAAATCAATATAATATCATATCGTGGTAAAGCTGGTGATTTACACCCCTAGTTATCATTACATTTTATTTGCACCCTAAGTGTTATTGACTGGATGTTTATGTCAATCCATGTAAAATACCAAAGTTAGCACAGCCTGACAGACATTAAACAAGATTTTAGAAGCTAATCATGTGTATTAGCTGAAACTTGGTATACAGTAGATGATCAGCTGCAGGACAATAGGACTCTGGTTTTGGCTGAATTGTTTCCTGCTTTTTAAAAAGACAACAGTTCATCTGCCGTAGGCATAATATGTTTCTTTTGTTCTCAGTTGTCAACTTTCCTCATTTCTTAGATGCATTCTTCCATGGTGGTGGAAGGATCAGATCTATCTTTAGCGGCCATTGGACTAGAGGCAGGGTACACCCTGAACAGGTCTGCCAGCCCATCACAAACATATTTATCTTTTTTTAGTGGTGTTGAATTAAATGTAGTGCCTCAAAAATATAGTGCACTGCAGCTTTTAATCTCTTTCACATTGTCTGTGACCTCGGACATCCCCGTTTATTTGAGCATGACCTACAGCACCAATGGATGCAGGGAGTTGTGATGATTGTGTTTAAAATAGTTTTGTTTCTCAGGTGGGGCAGCACGGTGGCGCAACTGGTAGAGCTGCTGCCTCTCAGTGAGCAGGTCCTTGGTTCAAACCCCGGTCCAGGGGCCTTTCTGGGTGGAGTTTGCATGTTCTCTCCGTGCATGCGTGGGTTTTCTCCGGGTGCTCCGGTTTCCTCCCACAGACCAAAAACATGCATGTTAGGCTGATTGGTAACTCTAAATTGTCCCTAGGTGTGCATGAGAAAGTGAATGGTTGTTTGTCTCGTTTGTCTCTATGTGGCCCTGTGATGGACTTGCGACCCGTCCAGGGTGTACCCTGCCCCTCGCACAGTGATTGCTGGACATGGGCACCGGCGACCCCCGTGACCCAAAATGGAATAAACGGGTAAAGATAATGGATGGATGGATGGATGTTTCTCAGGTGCATTCATATTTTTCTCCACTCTGTTGATATTTTCTCGTGGCTGGCCCATCAGTGAACACCTGATATTTTTCACACTTCACTGTGTTACCCAGAAAAGCTTTTTGGCTGTGATTGTGCCAACCTGTGCGGTAGAGCTGGAGCGCTGACAAGATCTGAGTGGAGTGCAGCTGTGCTCTGAGAGCCGGGATGTCAAAACTTCCACTATCCGTCCTGGCACTCACACACTGAAGGAACACTGGCTTGGTTCGGCGGATCAGATTTATCAGAGCGTCCTGCAGAAAAGACAAAAAAAAGGAGTTTGAGAATAAAAGCAACAACACTGAAATGTCCTCAGAGCATAATGACAGTGCCAGCTTATGTACCGCCTGTAATTTCACAGCGATACACTGTGAGGGTCTGCGTATCGAAGCCATCCCGCTGCTGAATGTCTTCCTGATGGTGCTGTTCCTTAGCAGGGCGTGCTGGCAGCTGCCCTCCAGCCCCCCCAGACCTCGACACAAAGGGGTTAAAGAAATTCTGGAGGTAAACATAGCCTTCACCACTCCTCTGTGGAAAGCAGAGACAGAAGCTGATCAGTGCATGTGACAGCACATCTCATTTATGCCCCACAGATATACACTGTATATGAATGTATATAAAAAAAAAAATACATGTATATAAATAATACAACAGACAGGACTTGATGGACAGGTGATGTTCCATTGCAATGAGCATCTTATACACTTATTATACTAAACTGTACACGCATACAGTGGGTATAAAGTCTAAACACTCCTGGTAAAATACCTGGACTTATTTAAAAAAGAGAGAGAGCGACTTTGTGCAAATATGCAGTGTGAATACTGAATGATGGATGAAAAATGTTGAAGAATCCAAAACTGAATTGTTAGTTAAAAGATGTGGAATACTAAGACTAAAATAAGCAAAAGGCTATCTAAAAGCTAAACATAGCAGAGTGTAGCTAAAAGTATCAAAAAGCTTAGTAAAGATTAATAAAACATGAACTAAAAATTAGAAGTATTTTATGAAGACAAAAACAGAGCCTGTTTGCTGAAGAAAATTTCAGATATTTTCATAGAAATTGTTGTGATTTCTAGGTATTTCTATGGAAAAAATATTTGTAAATAAAATAACTATTGTGAAAAGTATAAAAGGTTAAAAAAAAAAGACGTAGCATCTACCTAAACAGACGAAAGTTTTGACATATGAAAGATTAAAATAGCACAAATTATAAGTGGTATTTGCAACATACAAAAAAAGAAAGAAAACAAGAACACAACAATGACGATCAGACACAAATCTAGCACCTTTCATCATGAGAACAGCATCCTCACAGTGAAGAATGGTGGGGGCAGCATCATGCTGTGGGAATGATTTTCACCAGTACAGACTGGGAAACTGGTAGGAATGTACGTGTCGTTGGAAGGTGCACAGTAGAAAAAAATTCCTGAAGGACACCTGTCTGAGAGGGCGGCATGTTGGTACAGTTTGTAGCGCCGCCACCTCTCAGTGAGAAGATCGTTGGATCAAATCCCAGCTGGGGGCCTTTCTGGGTGGAGTTTGCATGTTCGCTCTGTGCATGTGTGGGTTTTTTCTGGATACTCCAGTTTTCTCCCACAGACCAAAAACATGCTAGACTGATGGGTAACTCTAAATTGTCTCTAGGTGTGAGTGAGAGAGTGAATGTTGTTTATCTCTATGTGTCCCTGTGATGGCCTGGAGACATGTCCAGGGTGTCCCTTGCCTTTCGCACAGTGACTGCTGGACATGGGCACCAGTGACCCCTGTGACCCGAAAAGGAAAAAGTAGGTAAATATAATGGATGGATGGAAACCTGTTTGAGATTGGGTCAGAGGTTCCCCTTCCAGCAGGATAATGAGTCTGAACACACAGCTGAAGCAACCCCCCCCCACCCCACCCCCACCCCCAACTGTTTTAAACAGGTACATGTCCTGCAATGATCTAGTCAAAGCACAGACCTCAGCTTTTGCTATGATGTCCAAGGTGTTTTACGCAGTTTACATGTATCCTAAGGTATCTTAGGAGTCTGATTTTTTACAGTATAGATAATATAATGTTTTCACTTAGACGTGACACACAGAGAAAAGCCTTTTAGGCCTTCAGACATACTCACATGGTGGAGTTCTGGAGCAGAGATGTAGCGTTAACAACAGATGGGTTGTTCTGGATCAGACTGAACCACCCAGTAAGGTCGTAACGGATGGGCTCATACCCCATCAGGTGGTTGACTTCACACTGCAGCGGCTGCTCACATTGACGGACTGCAGGGACAAGTGCAATGACAGCAGCCAACATGGTTTTAATGAACTGGGTGATATTGTCCACACACACATGCAGTAACACTGATTCTGCCTTAAAGAACTTGTTCAGGGCAGTCACAGAAGTGGTCATCTGTGCTTTGAATCTGTCCAGTCATTGATGTAAGACATTCTACTGAACTGACGCCACAAAGCTGCAGAGTGCACATCTGAAACAAGTATATGAAAATAAATATAATGGATAAATAATAAATAGATCATTAAACAGCTATCCTTTGGAATAATATGAAAATATGTTTTCCTTTATCCTAACTGGGCCTTCCTGAAAGCAGAGAAGAAACCCAAACAGGACTCCAGTCAGCCATCGGGTGAAAAGGAGGAGGAACCCAGACCCAGACCAGTGATCATTCCATATGTTGAGGGAGTATCAGAGAAACTGAGACATTTATTTTCTAAACCCAACGTCCCAGTGGCTTTTAAACCCCAAACTACATTACGGCAAAGACTGGTTCATCCCAAAGATCCAGTCCTCCGGCACAAACAGAGTAATGTTGTGTATGCTGTTCAGTGTCAGGAGGGCTGTGATCAGTCTTACATCAGGGAAACTAAACAGCCACTGGCCAAAAAGGATGGCCCAGCACAGAAGAGCAACAACATCAGGCCAGGACTCTGCGGTCTACACTCATCTCCAGGCCAGCGGTCACTCTTTCAGGGATAAAGATGTTCACATCCTGGATAGAAAGGAATGATGGTTTGAGAGAGGAGTAAAGGAGGCCATCTTTGTGAAAAGAAATCGTCCATCATTAAACAGGGGTGGAGGCCTACGTGTTCAATTGTCCCCCTCTTACAATGCTGTTATTGCTAGTATCACTCAGCCCTCTGTGAATAGTAAACAGCCATCAGGGTGCTAATGATTCATTGTTAGGCCGATGGTCCTTCTTGATCATATGAGCAGCTGGTTTTGGTTGTCAGTAGCAAAACGTTGGTTACGTACTGTAACCCCAGATTCTATGAGTATAAGCGTAGCCCTTTAAGGCTGTCGCTGATGGGTGTAGATGAACAGATGCTGGGATGTATTCATCATTTAACGCGAGTTCCTCATTTTTCTGGACTGAATAAAACGTGCATTGAATTTAAGGAAATGCAAACGTGAGACGTCATTTAAATTTGACCCATCAAAATGAATGCGGTCATTTATTTACAGAATCAAATTTAACATCAAACATTTACATTAATTTGGCAAATTATGAAAATAACAACATAAGCAATCAATCAGGAAAAATCATACGGCCATGATTTTACCGTTGCTGCACCACAGACATTTATAAAACTGTACAACTATGATCTTTTACCCACACGGATGTGAATAAGCACTTTACACAGACATTTCTAAATATCTGGGAGAATTTCTACTTCATAGGAAAGTTTAAAGATGGAAAGAAGTTTAGAGGGAGTAAAGGATGGGGTTTGAGGGAAATTGAATGTTACCAGAACCGACACTCTCCATCAGAAGCCCAGCTCGCCTCGGTACGCTTGGTAGGAAACTTGACCCATTACCTCTCTGATGATAATCAGCAGATATGGTGTTCCGTTAACGCTACCGGTCCAGCGTCTCCTTAGAATGGCTGTTGCCCGTCAGAAGTAGTGGCGAGGCTCTGTTCGACACACATTCACCTCAGTGGAAAATGTTATAATCCCATGGAACTCGGAAGAGCTTCGTTGTCATGTCAGGAACTCCAACAGCACTCCATCAGAACTTTAGCTCTCGTGTAGTTTACAGAACTCCCACAGAACTCTTGAAGTCTGACAACTCTCCAACTCTGTAACTCCGTGAGTCTCTGAGTCTGTGTAAACCAGGAAGTACTGACATTTTAAAGACTCTTTCCCGGTTCACTTTTTGGGATTTTTCATTGGTCAGAAACGACCAGAAGGGGTGTGTTTTTGTGACGTAAGGGGTTAGAGACAGCGAGAATTGTTATGAGACAGCTCAGAAATGTTCTCACAGACCGAGAGGGTTCTGTTTTGGCGTGCCTAAGACACAGGTGCAAAACATCTCTATTTACGTCTGAGAGGATTCTAAAACATGACAGTTTTAACATAACAACTTGTTTTTCGTTTGACTGTAACCTTGTAAACGCACACACTTGCTCATTCAAAAGACAGAAAATCAAGAAATGCTTATTCAGGTGATTTCTTCTCTGAATGAGGAATAAAAATCATTACTTACTGTTTATGTAAAATAAAAATGAGTAGTTCTTTTCAACCTGTAAAGCATTGAGTGAACTAACACAACTTGATTATCAAAACATTTGTAAGACAGTAATGATTTTAAAAAGAGAGTGTTCTTTTCACTTGAATCTTCAAGAAAGAAAGTCTCAGGATGGGTGAACCTGTATTTATGGAGTCAAATACATGAAATGACAGCTTCTGTCCCACAAGGTTCTAAAGGTCAAGAGTTTTGACCTTAGACTGGGTTCCGACGTAGGCTTAGTCCACTACAGTCCCCCCTTTGGAAATCATCACCTGTCCATGGAGATGAATTCCAACTATGGACTTACGTCGTCGATTGTCCTTGAAGCTTGATGTAATCCAGCAAAGAAACAAGAGTCAAGAGTAATCCAGCAAGGAAAACAAAAGTCAAAAGTAATCCAGCAAGGAAAACAAAAGTCAAGGTAATCCCACAATGTTCTTGGTAATTCCAATGTGTTGATTATAATTCCATATCGTCTCGATAATTCCATTGTAGCAATGCTTTAACCCCTTGGAAACAGAGTCTGTAATCCACTGGAAAAAGTCATATAATCCACAATGGTAAATCCACAACGATTGGAAGTGTTGATTAATCAGCATACAGAGGGGTACCCATGGATTGAACTGAAGAAGCGGCCACCGGATGAAGAGTGGAGACCAACGTCAGGATTGCAGGTCGCCTCCAGCGAAGGTTGTCTCCAGCGACGTCCAGCCTGTGCCGTTCTGGTTCAATGTGTCATGCAATTATGTGGTTTAAGGTGGGCTTATGAAGGGGATTTTACATAAGGCCTTAAACCATATGCACCTGGTGTGTAAGCTATTATGGTTGGGAACAGCTACAACTACCAGTTAAGGGGTGGAGCATGCTGAAAAGGGGTAACTACAGGGGTTTAAGCCTATAGAAAAGGGTTCCAAACTACTTTTCCATTTCTAACTTGGGTTAAGTTAGCTTTACATGGCAAAATATAGTTTGGTTCAAATGTCTGTTGTCTTGTAGACGAACGACTTGAGATTGGGTGTTTGGTTTCCCCATAAATGTTTTGGAAGTCTATGGCGAGACTTATCAAAAAGAATTAGCTATCCCCCCGAATAGAATTGTTCGAGTAGGTTCGGCTTAAGCGATGTGAGACCAATGTAGATTATGGTACTTAAGGTAACAATAATATACATTGACTCCGCAAGGATTGCAATTTAGCGAATGAACTGCATGTTGGCATGGTTAAAGGCCTCTTAGTCTCTAACTTAACTTACACACAAGATACATTCTTACCTCAGAAACAACCAAAATCAACTAAACAACGTTTCAACACCGACAAGAGTAGTGACTAAGCATCTAGAAACATCGTTTCACTGCTCCTCCTCACCCTGGTTGTCAGTTTCAGTCGCGCTGTCCCGTGTGAGTGGCTTCTTTGCGGACCCGCTGACGCGAGGCATAATCATATCGAGGTGCGCTGCATGGCGATCCACGTCGACTCGGAGTGACGTTTGGCCCCGGGACAGGGATGCGAGTATCCCACACAATACGAGGGTTATCGTCATTAGCAGGGCTATGATTAATGTGTCCGCGCTCGACCACGCATAGCTAATTGGTTGGATCGGGTTCTTAGTTGTGGACCTGAGGGACTTGAGAACTTGGTTTATTGGTTCCACGTCGACGACTTGGGTGCCTTCAAAACGGATCCTTCCCAGAGTCTCTGGATCTATGTCTATAGACATATTTCTCAGGTACTCTGAGTCATCCAGAGTCGCGTCCCATCGTTCCGGATCGAGGTGATAGAGCGTCAAATCACCAATGTGTATGGTTGTTCCCTGGGGAACACTGATCCACATCGTTTTGTCCGGTAACGCCAAAGGTCTATTTGCCCCGGGTTGATCGTAGGCTATGATCGCCTGTCTTTGAGGAGCGTTCACTAGCCAACGAGAGCCAATTATTTCCGCTTTTGCATCTTTAGCCAGGTGTCGAGGCGTTACGGTCGTTGAGCACTTAGAATTTTCCGGAATAGGTGTTAATCCGCATATGCCCGCGGTTTTATTCCACATAAACGGTTTGCTCGGGCACAGATAGTGTATCTCCCGAGTGAGAACACACATCTGCAGGTTTGGAGCTAGGTAAAC